TCGGTTAGCTATTAATATGTCGCACAAGAAAAATGTGAATTCTGGAATAGGAAAGAAATAGGTTGACATATAAACTATGTACAGATAAAGAGAATTAGTAAACTACAAGATAGAGATGAAGAAATTGCCCAGGATGCAACAAGGAAAATTTAAAAAATGAAAAACTCAGGAGACTGATTAAGAGTTAAGAGCATAGAATGAGAAATATGAATTACTGAAGGAGAGAATTAAAACAGTATTGGGGCAGCAGAAAAATCAAGAGATAAAAATCAAATATTTTCTAAACATGAAGAAATGTATCCCGAGACTTAATAATTACTAACTTCAAGCAACATACATTCAGACTTAGACACATGAAACTGCATAATACCAATGACAGAAAATCTTAAAAGCAACCAGAGAGAAAAGACCGATTAATTACAAAGGAATAATTAAATTAAGAGATTTCTCAAAGGTAACTTAGAAGCCAGAAACTCATGACATAGAATATTAAAACTGTTGAGAACAAAACTAAGCTATAAATCTTAAATTCTACTTTTGGACTTCTCAGACAAAGGAAATGATATGCTCTATGGAATAGTACTAGAATGTTCCAAGTTCATGAAGAAGGAACTCACATACGGACCGAAATGTACAAAGCTATGCTTAGGGTTAATGCTAAGTACTGAGGTAAAGGGATGATCATACAAAGATGTTCAAACTCTACTCACACCATGGTCCAAGTTCATTCTTTGATTTTTCCCCCCTCCTCCCTAATTCCAAATATAAGCAACGACAGACAAAATGTCCTAAAATAGAAAAATAAAAAATTTCCATAGGCCAGAAACAAAAACTCAATACAGAAAATGCAATAAAAGGAAAAAAAAAAAGAGCAAGAACATCAAGAGAAAGGTTCAAAGCGTGGGAGAAAGTGCAGAGTTGGGACCACACTGATATGTTCAGGAAACTGGGGCAAATGTGTCGATGGGCTTTATGTAAGAGGGTGTGTTGTAGAAAGGCCTGAGTAGTAGAGCCCAACACAGGATTGTGACTAATTTGAATGAGATGAAGAAGCATAAAAATAAAAGGGGGAAAAACCCACACTATTTAATAAATAATAGTGGACAATTTATATATTTGAAAAAATATGGTTCAATTCCTAACTCAGATTTTTATTATTCTTTTTTATTAGAACATTATATCTATGCATAGTGTGGCTGAGTAAAGCTCCATTGTGTCTATATACYACATTTTCTTGGTCCATTCATCTATGGACAGGGAGCTGAGTTGGTTCCATAATTTGGCTATTGTGAATTGTGCCTCTGTAAACATTGCAGTGGCTGTATCACTGCAGTATTCCAATTTTAGTTCTTTTGGATAAATCCCAAGGAGTGGGACAGCTGGGTCACATGGTAGTTCCATTCCTAGTTTTTTGAGGAGTCTCCACACTGCTTTGCAAAGTGGTCGTACTAATTTGCTGTCCCACCAACCATTTATGAGTATGCCTTCCTCCCCACATTCTCACCAAGTACTTATTATTATTCATCTTCCTGATAATTGCCATTCTGACTAGAGAGAGACAAAATCTTAATGCAGTTTTGATTTGTGATTCCTAGAGATATTGAACATTTTTTTTATTTGTTTGTTGGCCATTTATGTCTCTTTGTTTGAGAAACTTTTGTTTAGTTCCTTTGTCCGCTTATTGATTAGATTCTTTTGTGTTTTGTTTTGCATTGAGTTTTTTGAGTTCTTTATATATTCTTGATACTAACGCCCTGGCAGAGGAGTGGCTGGCAAAGGTTTTCTCGAATTCTGTACACTCCCTCTTCACTCTCTTAATCATTTTATCTCCTGTGCAAAGTGTTTTTTTTTTTTAATTTGATGACACCCCACTTACTGATTCTTGGTTTTATTTCTTAAGCTTTAGAGATCTTGTTGAGAAAGTCAATGCCTGTACTTGTATGGTGGAGTGTTGACCCTATGTTTTCTTCTAGCAGTTGCAAGGTTTATGGACTAATTCCTAAGTCTTTGATTCATTTTGATTTGCCCTCTGTGCAGGGTGAGAAACAGGGACGTAGTTCCATTCATCTACATATAGTTACCCAATTTCCCCAGCACCATTTGTTAAAAAGGCTGTTTGAAGTGTAATATATATACACAACGGAATATATAACTCAGTCATAGGGAAGAATGACATTATGGCCTTTGCTGGTAAATTAAAGGAATTGGAAACTATCATGCTAAGTGAAATAAGCCAATCCAAAAAAAAAAAAAAAAACAAGGCCAAATGTTCTCTCTGATATGAAGATTCTAACACACAATAAGGGGTGGGAGAGGGGAGAATAGAAGTTCACTGGATTAGACATAGGAGAATGAAGGGAAGGGAGGGGAATGGGAATAGGAAAGACAATAAAATGAATGAGGCATAACTTTTCTGTGTTCATATGTGAATACATGACCAGTGTGACTCCACATCATGTACCACCACAAGAATAGGAAGCTATACTCCATGTATGTATAATAAGTCAAAATACATTCTACTGTCATAAATAACTAAAAAGAACAAATTTAAAAAATGAAAAAAATGTATCGTTACTCCAACATATGTATTTGGGACTTTTGTGAAGTATCAGATGATTGTAATTATGTGGCTTTGTCTCTGAGCCTTCTATTCTATTCCATTGACTTCCATGTGTACTTGGATGCCAATACCATGTTGTTTTGTTACTATAGCTGAGTGGTATAATTTGAGATCAAGTATTATGATGTCTCCTGCATCACTTTTCTTATTCAGGGTTGTTTTGGCTATGCTGGGTCTCTTATTCTTCCAAATGAACATAAGGACTGATTTTTCTAGTTCTGTGAAGAATAGCTGTAGGAAAACTAGCCTTCTATATTTTAAAATTCCTTATAAACAAAACATAAAATGAATAACGAAACATAAACATTTGCATCACACACAACGGGGAAATGGACCAAAGACACATAATTCAGTCATTGTTTTTGAGAGGAGAAGAAATTGGCTATGAGAATGAGGAAACTTTCTGGATGAAAAATTCCATATCATGATAGAGGTTTGGAAGTCTCAGATGTGAGCATCTATTAAATTATGCACATGCAATATGTGCATTTCACTGCACATAAATCATGCCTTGATATATAGTTCCTATAACAGCTATAAGAAGAAACAATGCATAAAAAATGGGCAAAGACTAAACACAAAAAAAACTTTTTGAAGAACTATAAATTAACAGTGAATTTATGGAATAGTCCCCAACCACATAAATAATTTTGAAAAATAAATTGAATTAACAATGATACCTTTCCCCACAAATTGATTCTCTCATACATTGTTGGTGGGTATGTAAATTGGTGCAGCCTCACTGGAAGAAACTTAAGAAGACAAAAATATTTATTTAATGCATATAATCTAAGATGCAGTAATCCCAAATTTACAAATTTAGATTATCTAGCAGGAGTATATCAGTATGCTTATATAAAGACATTTGAGCTTTGTGTTTATAATATAAAATTTTGGAAACCACTGTAATATTCATCACTAAGCAAAAGAATTAAATGATGCTATGATAATACTTAATGCCGCTGAATTATACACTTAAAAATTGTTGAAATGATCAATTTTGTGTTATATATATTTTCTGCAACAAAAAACAAAGTACATTATGACTTAGCTATACAACAGAATACTATACAGACTTTTAAAATGGCATAAGGATCTCTATATACAGATTTTGAAGTATTTCATAGCTTATTAAATAGGCATGCTTTTAGGTATCTATATGTATATAACTGGAGAAATACATAAGCTTTTTTCTTTTTTTTTTTAAGAGAGAGTGAGAGAGGGAGAGGAAGAGAGAATTTTTTAGTATTTATTTTTTTAGTTTTCGGCGGACACAACATCTTTGTTGGTATGTGGTGCTGAGGATCGAACCCGGGCCGCACATGCCAGGCGAGCGCGCTACCGCTTGAGCCACATCCCCAGCCCCATACATAAGCTTTAAAAAAAAAAAATCTTGCTATTTGTGGGCATGAAGATGTGGCTTGGACGTGAGCACTTGGCTAGTACGCACAAGGCCCTGGGTTCAATCCCCAGAACCACAGACAAAAATAAAATGAAACAAAAACAAAACTTGCCATTTGTGGTATTGGCTTATAGAGCAAGTTTCATTTTATTGTTTTACTTTGTATATCTCTATATTGGTTAAATTTATGGATGAGCACATGCTTGATTCAAAAATTAAAACAGGTTCCAAGGTATATTACCATGTTTTCAAAGAGTGTGAAGATGGAAGAAGTAGCACTGTGTTCATAAAGCATCTAGAGGCTTCAACAAAGACAGAACTCAAGACTGTGACACAAAGACTAGTATGGAGGTGTTGAGATTGGCCTGTTACGTAAACTATGTCATTAAAATCGAGTTCATATGCAATACATTCTTATGTAAATGTTTTAATTCTAATTGGATAATGGTGCTTCAAAATGCACTGAATACGATATTTCAGGTGGAAAGAGGACAGTTGAGGCAAACAGCACTATGGAGGCTCGGTACTGTGTGCTCTTGTACAGATCGACAGACCAGCTCTCTCTGCAGAGCAGTCATGCGAAATCGCTCACCTTGGCGTCCACTTTCAGTGACTTGTCCTCCTCTCCAATAGCTCACTTCTTTTATTTCACCCTGTTTCCTCTTGCAAAAAAAAAAAAAAAGAGAGAGAGAGAATTCACAATTCGACCCCTCCCCCCCCCCAAAAAAAAATAAACAGGAGTCAGTTTCTGGAAACAAAATCCTTCCCTGTCCTTGGTCTATGTTGGTTCTCCTGGGTGGTTTTTTCAGGACTTGTGCCAACTTCACTTCACAGTCGATGAAGGAGTTTTCTCACAGAAAAAAAGCATGTGGATGAGGTAGATTGGAAATCTGACTCCTGAGAATCTGTGAAGATCCTATTGGTCTGAGGCTCGGGGCATGGATGGGTTTTGAAGAGCAGAGTCTTCCATCACCTTACGTAGTGTCGTCATAGTCGACATCTGCAATGTTTGCCTTCCTCAGCCTAGAATAGATGTCTGCAGAGACCTGAACGCAAAGTCACATGGATAGGATCAGAGGACAACAGACAAGGAGAACATACAAACAGCAATTTTGTGTTATGTATATTTTCTGCAATAAAAAACAGAAGTCTACCAACCCTCCTCCCCAGTCAACTGAATACTTCCCACCATGGTGCACCAACAGCATGTAAATAAGAGGCTCTTAGAAGATGGTGACTACCCATAAGCATTTTCAGATGGCCTGCTGCCCGCTGGAGGCTTACACAGGGGTTCCTTCCTGAGGAGCTGCAGACTAATCCAAGCATATAAGGCCTTCCCTCATCCTTACGGGCCATTGTCATGGGCTATCATTTTTAAAGATTTCAGAATTGAAAATTAAATTTAGCATAGCACCAGAGTTTCCCAAGGACTTGAATTCTGTCCTGAGATAACTGGCTGCCAGAATGCACCACACGAAAATGCTAAGCACCTACTCTTTGTGCAGTTGGGATACCTACAATTTTCAGAAAGTGACTTTGTATCATCAATATATATCTTGAATTGTTTGAGTTTTGCAAATTATTGATATCTCATAACACAAATCACTATGAGCTTAGTTTTGTTCAATATTAATTTAGTTTGCCACACACTGTTTTGTTGACCTTAACAGCACTAAGTGATATATATGTGTGTGTGTGTGTGTGTGTGTGTGTGTGTGTGTGTGTGTGTGTTTTCCAACAGTATTTTAGGAAAAATATTTTCAAATAAATAGAATTTTTTAAAATTCGGTATGGTTTAGATAGGAGGTGTTCCTCCAAAGCTCATGTGTGAGATAATGCAATTTCATTTTAAAGATGCAATGGTTGGGTCATGAGAGCATTAACCCAATCACTGCATTAATCCACTTGAATAGATTAATTTTAACTGTAGGCAGGAGGGTGTGGCTGGAGGAGGTAGGTGTGTGTGTGGGGGGGTACCTTCAAAGTACATATTTTATGAACAGAGCTCGCTCTCTGCTTCCTGATGGCCAGGTCGTGAGCTGCTTTCCTCTGCCATGAAGTTCTGCCTCACTTGGGTCCAGAGCAATAGAGCCCATGTATGGACTGAGACCTCTGAAACCATGAGCCCCAAATAAACTTTACCTCCTCTGAAATTGTTCTTGTCAGGTCTTTTGTTTACAGGGCTGAAATAGCAGCAATTGAACTACAAATCACCCATATGCCTATTGCTAAAGCAAATGTACATGTAAGACTCCAAAACTTCCTTCCTTGTACAGAAATTCCTCCATTGTGATGGTAGATAAGAGATCATGACATTTTTTTTTCCCTCTAATTGGTTATCATTTAAGAAGTTTTCGAACCGTCCTCAGGGGAAACAGAGAATGTGCATGGAGAAAAAAAACAATAGGAACCGTCTCACCTTATTCTCCACCTGTGTCCTCATGTGTTCAGCTGTGAAAGAAAAAGTGCATGCTGTGAGATTCCACTTATATTTAAAGTCTTTAAATAAATGCTCACCAATAAAGGCTTCTTCATCTTCTGGGTATTTCCCTTAGATTGATTTTCATTACTATTATTATTATTATTTTGCTTTTCGATCTAGTATGACTACCTTAGTATCCAAAGAAAAAAATGATTATTTTCTTGGTTCCAAGAGAAGGAAAGACAAAGGTCAGAAGACAAATTCATCCCCAGCCTCAAGTCTCACCTGCTCCCGATTCCTGCTCCTGCTGGACATGATAGACCAGGGAGTACACATCATCCCCAGGCATGACATTCACTGCGAGAGAAGAAAGGACTCTTTGAAGTAGGACAGAAGAGTGGACACCCGAGGAATTTTCAGGAAGCAGGTTTGTTGACTTCAGGGTTCAGAGGTGGCTCTCGCCTAAGAATTCTTTCTCTGAGCAAAGATTTTGGAAATCTTTGAGCTTTATACCCAGTGGTGGCGGGAGGAGGTCCTTGGAGATTCACAGGACAAGTTCTCTCTGTTCCATGCCCGAGACCAGACACAGGTTTCACAATTTTTTTTTTTTTACCAAGAAAACAGAGATAATATCGCTTTTTACAACAAGTTTGCAGACTTGACTCTATCACAGCTTTTGTGTGCAAACCTGGCATATACAAGAAAGAGAAAATACCCACCACAGTAACCTCTGCAGGCATCCTGCTGACCTGACAAGAGGAGAAGCTTAATTATGGCAAGGATCTTCTGGATGGGGGTCTTTGGATTGCTTCATTTCCCCCTTTGATGATTTTTATTTCAATCAAAGATCATCATCTTCTTCTTGGCTTTAAAGCTTTATATAATGTCATGATCTCCGTTGTTGTCTTTCTTTTAACCACTATTTTTATAGTAGACCCAATAGTTTTCATGCACAGGGAAGCCAAACGTGGGAGTAATAAATAGGTTAACAGCAGAAGACCTGCTATGCCAATTAAGCTTTTAAGTCCACCAAGGGCTGAAAACCATCCTGCAAATAGTGAGATTGGATTCCAATCTTTAATGCCTTTCCAGGTTTGGACGGGCACCTGTGCTAGTTTTCTGATATTGCTGGCTATGTCTTTAACTGTCTGCCCGTGGTCATCTATTTGGATGCGACAGTCTGAACTGTTAAACTTTTGACGTACTTCCCCTTCCTCAGCTAGTGGGTAATCTAATGCCAAGCGGTCTTGATAGATAGCCACTCACATTTGGGCCTGTTGTGTGGCCAAAGGCTGTAGCAGTTTGATTAGTAATAATTTCCAGTACAGTTTGCAGGCGAATTATCCAGTTTAGCACATAAACTAGAGTTCTATAGCACCAACTGCCATGCTGTGCCCAGGTAGCAGGACCATAAATGGCTTCAACATCATGACAAAGTCCCTTCTTCCTATCATTCAGATTACTCTGTGTGTCTACTGCCTGTCAAGCCCTGGAGGCTGATGGATGTTTATTTGTAGAGGAGGTGGGGACACAGCAGGATCAGGTTTGGCCAGCAGAGGTCAGCTCATGGCTCAGCTTCTTAGCTTATTATGGCTTAAGTATGAGGTGTCCCCCAAAAGCTCACGTGTGAGACAATGCAAGAAAGTTTAGAGGTGGAATGACTGGGTTATGAGTCTTCACCTAACCAGTGCATTAATCCTCTGCTGGGTATTAACTGGTGGTAGCTGTAGGCAGAAAGGTGTGGCTGGAGGAGGTGGGTCATTGAGACTGTGCCATTGGGGTATATATTTTGTCCCTGGTGAGGGGACTTTGGCTCTGCTTCCTGATGTGATGTCCTGAGCTGCTGTCTTCTACCACGCCCTTCTTCCACGATGTTCTTTCTGCCTACCTTGAGCCCCAAGGCATGGAGCCGGCCGTCTATGGACTGAGACCTCTAAACTGCAATCACCAAATAAATTTTTCTCCTCTAAACTTGTCCTTGTCAGGTCTTTTGGTCACAGTGATGAAAATCTGACTCAAATGCTATGCCTACGTTGGCCCAGGTCATTTGAGAAACTTTACCATTTTCGTATACAGGCGGTAGCTGCACTGGGTCAGGTGAGTTGAGATAGTTGGGTTCTTGGGGTTCAGGACTGGAAGGGCTCCTACAAACACAGAAACACGCGTGAGCTGTCTGGAATAGCATTCCAGATGTCCCAGACATATCTATCCAAGATCGTAAAACAGCCAAGGAGAGGAGCTCTTTAAGGAAGACTCCTGGACAGAATATCAGTCCAGGGAACTGGAAGGCACACCCTACCGTGTAAGCCGTGGCCCTAAGTGTGGACACTGCAGTCGCCCTAGTGCACGTATTCCACAAGTCTTAGCTGACTGAATCACTGTGGGACAGCCCACACCTGAAATGATGTCACTTACGTTATAAAGGCTCACTAAATCCTGGATAGAGAAAGAATGATTCACCCCAGAGGAAAACAGGTGGCTGACCACACTAAGGAACTTGGAGAAAAGACAGAATTAAACAGGCATCCATGTGATGTACCCCTGAAAGAGGGCCACTCTGATTTGGAAAAGAAAAATCTGTTTATTGTTGGCATAAACAATAACACTATAMAATACATCAAATAAACACTGGTAGCCCTAGGAGGAAGTATTTGAAAATGTTTTCTTCCTCTAAACTTCTAAAGAATGTCATCCATGATTTTTCAGTCTGTTTATTCCTGTCTAACATTACAGAAATGTGTGTATACCTCACCTACCCTGAAATACTTTAGGACTCTCAAGATCTTTCCATATGTTCAAGGGTCTCTGCAGCCAACAGACCCTTCGACATTGGCTGAGACATTGACTGCTTGAACAAATGGACAGTCCTGGTCAAAGCAATGTCACTTTCTTATTGTGAAGATGTATTGAAAGGGATAGACATAGAAAAAAATGATCAATTCGTTATGATATGAAACTTAAAAAGACCAGAAGTAGAAAATCAAAGTACATTGAACTCAGGTGTGATTTTTAGGTATGAGAAGATAGGAAAACAGCTCCCCCAAAACAGGACAATTCAGAGTTGAAAATTTTCTTGTTTTCCTGCATTAGTAGCACCTACAGAGAAAGCAGGGGTCTTACCTGTGTGGGTCCCTGGTTGAGCATCTTCCTGAAAGTCAAACAGATGAGTGAACCTGTCAATGGAGGAACCTCCTTCTCGGCTCCCTTATAGCCCTGGTACACAGGGATGCACCTCCTGCCAGAATGCCCACTGTGGATGCCACCCTGTGCCCAGAGGACATCCGGGCAATTATTTGCAGAGCCTTCCTTTCACAAATGAGGAGACTCAGGTCCAGAATATAAATGAGCTGCCCCAAAGCAAAAACATACTGGCGCTAAGAGTGGAGCCCAGGTCTCTGAACTCTCGGGTCTATGATGTGAGGATGGGAATCTTATCCTGCCCCAAATCCTCACGGGCAGGTGTTGCCACAGCCATGTTATAGTTGAGGTGCCCAAAGATGCTGGAAAAGTCTAGAATTTAAATGAAAATCTCACATTGTCCTCTCCTGCTCCATCTCCCACTTGCTCAGGGGAGAGCAAGAGCCTGGAGCTCAATACACCAAGGAATACGTAACTGGTGTATTGGTGATAGAGTGGGAGGCTGAGTCACCCGGAATTCATAACAGAAGAGAACCGTGGGAGGCCGTGTGACCCGCTGAAGCGTCTTGGAGAACATGGCATTTCCACTCAAGAGTGAAGTTTCCAACAATGATTAGAACATGTGGATATGTGAATGAGCTTTTGGGGGAGTAGGGAGTAGCTTTTGGCAAACCCAAAAGATAAATAAGACTCTCTGCACTGACTTTAGAGCTAGGAGAGGAGCAGGCTTAGCTAGAGTTGTTAAGGGCTTTTCTCTTCCAGGGGCTGATGAATTAAAGTWTTATGTTCCTCTATAAAAAAAATTAAATCACAGAAGAATATGACACCAGCTGAACCTCAATCGATGACATATGGGGAGAAAACRAATTTTACTAAAAATTAGTTAAATTTTCAACTTGTATACTGCAAAGGATAAATATACGGCTAAAAGCATATATTTATCCTTTGCCGTTTACATGTTACCCTCCCAGCCTATTTCAGTGAAATCTGAGGTCACAAAATACCCACCTCTATAAATACTMACCTATTTTTCTCTTGAGCCAGTAGCAAAGTAACAGGACTGCAGTGACGAGACCAACGCTGCCGAGCAGCCCCTCAACGACCCCTGAAKTAAGATGTTCGCTTCTGGGTTCGGCAGGCACTGAGGGGGAGACCTGGGGGTGAGCTGCTGTAGGGAAGGAATTGGGTTTGGGGACAGACCTCTTGGTACGGGCTCTGCTCAAYGGCTGCTCTCCCAGGATGGATGTACTTATTTATTTAGGGATCTGCAGCTTTTCACATTGATGCAAGAAGAGAGGCACCCAACCTCCAGCTCCTCCCACAGGACCCTCGCCCTGAGTAGTGCAGCAGAGGCCCTGGGGTGTCAGTGGGCCTCTCCTGGGGTGCTGGGGAAGAGGCTGATGGAGACAACCCCACCGCCGAAGGTATACCTGTGAAACTGAGAGTCACCGCCTCACTGCGCTGGGCACCCTGGCCATTGTCGGCCTCGCACGAGTAGTTTCCAGAATGTTCTGCCGTCAGGGAGAGGTTGAAGGATGCCCCTCCCCCAGAGGGCGCTGAGCTGTTCCCCAGGATGATGTCCTCGTGATAAAACTGGTACAGGATCGGGGGAGAGCCCCCCAGGGCCTCGCAGTGAAGCTCCACCACGTCCCCCATCTCAGCCTGGGCCCTGGGAGCCCTGAGGGTGAGCACAGGGCSGGACACTGGAACTGACAGGGACAGTGGACTGTCAGAGACGTGTCTCCACTGGTGCAGTAGAGCCATAATCCCTGACTGTCCCCAAGGACTCCACCCCATGGAACTTCCCCAAGGCACCCCAGGGGAACACGGAGCCAAACCGGCCAAGCTGCAGGCACCCCAGCACTCCAGGAGAGGCCCGTTGACACCACACTGGAACTCACTCCTGACAGCGATGTCCACCAGTCCGCTGAGGCTGGGGCCGTCGCCGTTGTCAGCTGCGCAGTAGTACTGGTCGGAATCAGTCTCCGTCACTGGGGCGACCTCGAAGTTTGCTGTCCGTGAATGCTGCGTCTTGGTTTCCAGGTTTAAGCCCAAATGCCCTTTGTACCAGACGAAGGTGATGTTTCCTGTGCCCTTAGCCACCGAGCAGAGGAGGACCAGTTTGTCTCCCTTCATCACCTGTCCCCCTGGAGGCTGAGTCTCCAAGCTCACGTCGGAGACAGGGATTCCTGCACAAACACCAGAAAATGTGGRAGAACCCCGAGCAGGGAGTGTTTGGAGCCCAGGGAGTAGGTATGGGGGTCTTCAAGGCAAAGTTGAAGGCAAAGTCATGATGGATAAAGTTTGACTGGAGGGAGGGGAGGCTCTACTGATTTGGAATCACTTCTAGTTTGGTGGTAGGGTTAGAAAGGTACGATAATATCACCATGGAAAAATGTGGCATCGCCTCCTTGCCTAGGACAATGTGACTTCCATTCCCCTGAGTCTCAAGCTTTCTTTTTTTAAGGCACAGTAATATAGTGATTATAAGTCCAAATTGTGTGTCAATCTGCCTGGGTGTGGATACTGGTTCCAACTCTTGCTTGCGGTGCATGCTTGATCAAATTACTTTTATAAGACTCAATTTCTCATCTGTAAATGGAGATGCAATGATAGTTATCTCCTGCAGGTGTGGGACTTCAATTAAACATATATGTGAAGCACTAAATTGGCACCTGCTGTGTACGAGCTGTTCAATGGTTATTGCTGGGGTGGAGATAGCAGAAGGTTTAGTTTCACTAGTGTTGAGTTTTTAGAAGTCTGGAACTACCTAATGTTCTGGAGGTAATAGACATGAATATCATACTCCGGCCACACCTCTAACTCTATACTGGGGGTTGAACCCAGGGGTGCTCTACCACTGAGCTATACCTCCAGCCCTTTTTAATTCTTATTTTGAGTCAGGGTCTTGCTAACCTCAAACTTGCAATGCTTCTGACTTAGCCTCCCAAGTCACTGGGATTACAGGCGTGCACCCTGGCACCTGACTCAATGTTGGGATTTTGCAGGAGATCATGTCACAGAAGTGGCAATCTGATATGGTATGACATGGTTCATAATAATAAAATTTTCTTTTTGTATTTTTAAAAAATCAACCCCCCCCCCCCACACACAAGCCTTCTCCAATAGTCTATTCCACACACTTCTGCCAAGCCTTCTCTTGCCACCTGGTCAAGCTGACCCTGGAGAGAGAGAGGGATACCAGGAKAGCTGAAGCCTCCCTCCACCTCTACCATCCCAGGGACAGGAGAGGTCATCGCCGTCCTCTCCCCAGCGGACTCTGGAAGCACCGTCCTTAGATACTCACTCTGCACCTGTATGTTGGAACTCCGGCTCTGTTTGGGGGGTYTATTCCCCGCTGTCGTCATGGTACACCAGTAGTTCCCCGAGTCTTCCTTCCACACCGTGGGGATCTGGAGCTTTGGGGAGCTGCTCCGTTCTGATCCCAGGTTGTGGCCATTTCTGAAGAAGCTGAACTGGGGTTGGACAGGTGGCGGCTGAAGAGGGAGCCGGGTCTCACAGGTCAGGGTCAGTGAGCTCCCCTCTATGGGGTTGGCAGGCCTGGCTGTCAGCACAAGATGTAGAAACAGCTCTGGAGAGAATAATTAAACAGATAGAGTCCAGGGCCGGGGGTTCACAGTTCCCGGTGACAGGCATTCCGTCCCCAGCCACACAATACCCCTAGGTTCCCTCAAGTGGCCCATGGGCTTCCCCTGGCCACGGACCCACCCTGTGCATCCTCACACATCCTGCCACGGGCCACAGCAGCCACTTCCAGAAGGCAGCACTGTGACTYGGATCTTATCATTCTTGAAGTTTCTACCCAGGAACTAAGAAGCCCTTTCTGGAAGCCAGGGCAGGAACATTGAAGACAGTCGCTGCAGCTGGTATTGGAGACGGGGAAGCTTTGATTTTTAATAAAAGCGAATACATTTCTGTGGACCATGGTCTATCACCTGGTCGTCATTCTCTTTTGTTCTCTTTCCCCTCCCGTCTCAGACACATCCTGTCCCTACTGTCGCTAGCCCCATTGCTGGGAAGTGCCCTGTGGACATCCACACAGCCCYGTTCCCCTGATCTGGGACTTCGACACAGACCTCTGCTGCAGCCACAGGAGAAGAAAATTTAGTCCATGCCTTAGGCCTCAGGGGTAGATCCTTTTGGGCTTTTTTTCTGGGTAAATAAAGATGGTGAAGGTGCATTCTACTCTCCCCTCTCCCCTTAGCACTCCCAGTTGCAGCAGCCTATGAAATCTCACAAATCTTTGGGCACGTGTTTATCCAACTCTTAGAGCCTCTGACATGTGGGAGATTTAATTTTTTTTTTTTTCTGAAAGAAACCTCTTCCTCCCCTCACCAGATGCCGGCGACGAGTACTCTGGATCACTGGGACATGATTCCTAGACTAATGTCTATCATTTCCAATTCTGCCCCGCCCGCCCTCCCCACACAAGGCTTTTCCCTGGGTCTTTTTAAACCTCAGTTCCATCTGTGGTTACCAGAATGTTCCCTGTGACCTGGGGCATGGAATACCCTGTTCTTTTTGTCCTCAGAAAGCTGGTCCCCAGAAAACAGAGGAGCATTACAGCTTTTGGAGCTGAATAGAGAAAGGAATAAAACAGGCATTTGCGCACCTAGAATCCACTCAAGCTTCTGTCCAGGGCAGGGGACCAGGTGGAGCTGGAAGCCACACAGGGATGACTACAAGAGCCTGGAGCTCAGACTTGCAGGTCAAGCTTAATGCCATTAAATCCCAGGCAGCAGAGATTACCTGGAAATACCTGGGAATTTTGTTTCTTTATCCTTGATGTAACTATGAATTTTTGCTTAGGCTAGAATTTGGCACCTGAGTTTAAGGGTAAAGGAGAGACCAAGAACAAAGCTCGTGTGACATTAACACCAAGCAGGAGCTGGACTTGGACAAATATTAGGGAAGGAACTCAGAGGGCCAAGGTGATTCCAATCTCTCTGGTCACAGGAATCCCTGATTCTGTGTTCTGGAGGTAACACAACGTCCTCTCTTAACCCTTAGGTTAGTATCTTACGCACACGAGAGCGGTTCTAGTAAATATTATATTGGAAGCTGCTTTAGTGAGATTTCTCATGGCAGAAGACTTTCCTACTCCCCTCTTCTGAGAAAGGCAAGACTCTKAATCAGGATCAGAGCCATGAAGTACGTTTGCATAAACCAGTCGGAGAGAGGAAACTGAACTGGGGCAACAATTGTGGCTGCAGAGGGGAGCTAAAAATAGGCAGGAGGCACAGTACGACTTGGTTGCACGTGGCCTGGAGACGGACTTCAGTGTTGTTCTCCATGGCTCTGTGATTTCAGCATTTCCCCCATCACCCATGGCAGAGTTCCCAGGGGACTTGAAGCCCCTGGGGCAGGGAGGACAGAGACTCTTCTAACGTCAGCCTTTGGCACCCTCTGCCTCTCTTGGGCAAATAGCATCTTCATCCCTGTGCTGAGACTGCCCAGAAAGGAAGCAGAAGGCCAGGCGAGACCTGATCACCCAGCTGGGCAGACACGGCTCAGCAGCCTGGGATCAGGGGAGCCACTGATGTCCGGACACCTCAGCAGCTGTCACCAGATGCCTCTTGGACAGGTAGGGGCTGCTCAGAGGGCCATCCACAGGTCTCCTGATCTGAGCTGAGGGACAGACTGTGAGGAAGTAAAGGAAGTGTAACTCACCGTCAGGTTCGCAGAGCAGAGCTGCAAGAAAATTCAGGAGACATCAGCACAGAGCAGCAAGTCCTACAGGCAGACAAGTGTGACTCCTCTAGGACTCCCCAGCAGTAGACCCTCCCTCCTTGTCACTGCCTCCTCCTTCTTTCACTTCCCTCATATACCTCCCTCCCCTTCCTTCTGTCTTTCCTTCTCTCTGTTCCTTTACCAACATTCCATATCACCCGCTCAACACCCACCCCCAGAGCACTTTTTTTTCCTCTGATCATAATTTCCAATAACTTTTGTCATCTGTGATTYGGAAATGGTAACTTTGTTGTTTCTTAAATTTTTTTTGTCGTGCATGATAGTTGTGCATAATATTGGGGTTCATTTTGACATACTTCTACAAGCATGGAATATAATTTGCTCCAATTCAGTCCTCAGTACTTCCCCTCTCCCTCCCCTCCTCCCCTGCTTCCATTTCCTCTAATGGTTTTTCCTCTATTTACTTACAGTTATTTAAATTAGTGCATTATAACCTTTATTTTTAAAAATCTATTTATTCTAATTGGTGCATTACGATTATACATAATAGTGGGATTCCTTTTTAYATAGTCATACATGCACCATCTAAGAAGGTAATTTGGTCAATTTTGTTYTCCAKTAARGCTTTGCTCTTAATTRCTTAACATCCCTCTTRGAACTTCTTATTCCCATTTCCACCTCCTCCTGTCAAAAGTCTTGATGATCCAGTCAGGACTCACTGTCTCAGGACCCCAACACACTCAGGCAAGGGGGTAAGGGTCTCATGGCTAAGGCTTGGAGWCCCTTGTTTTACCAACTTGAGATCAGAAGAAGCTTAGGTCCAGAGAATGGATAGACATTTCTCCTGATTCTCTTCTAGCCCAAGGATTTCACTTCACTATGGTGTCATAAGGGTCAAGAAGGAAAAAATTGGGGAGATAATGCAGACTTTATAACCAGAAGGCAGAGATTTGGATCTTCAGTTTACTCTTACAAGCTTTGTGACTCTAGGAAAAATGTTTCTYCTCTCTGTGTTTTGGTTTCTTTTTCTACAAAATGAGATAATAATAGTACCTGCCTGGCAGAGTTTTTGTGAGGATTAAGTGAGTTGATACCCACAAAGTGCTTAGAATAGAGCCTGAAACTTACTTAGTATCTAATAAATATTGTCTCATCACTATTCTGTTTAGTCTGAGATGCCTATTGTTTTAGGTTAAATTCTTATTTGAATTATTAGTTTCTCAAGCAGGGGGAGAGAAACATATTTTATTTATTAATCCACAAAATGAATAGTCTTTAAAAAGCTTAATTTTAATTTCATACAAATCTTTGATGCATTATTGCATTCTAAAATATCAGAAATTAGAGGGGTTTTTTTTGCTTTATATTATTTGTTATGTACATTTTTATTGAAACCTTGCAGGTTTCCTTTAAGTTGTACTGGGRTCTTTTAAAAAATAATTTTGAGTGTTTACCATATGCCAGGCATTGTGCATAGCACCAGGTTTRCAGTAGAGAATATGACCAAGAGTCTGTGGTGTCAAGAATTAACGCTATGCTGGGAAGGAGACAATGACAAAATAAATGTAGGATGGTTTCCTAGAGTGGTTGGTGACACAAGAAAAACAGAGCAGAGGAATAAGTTACAGAATGTCTTAGGATGGTCTTGACTGTCTCAATAGATTCCAATTTGGTAGAAGCCAAATTGACACGAGGGAGCAAGACTTTAGAATATCTGGGAAAGTGCATCTAGCAGAGATTAAAAACAGCAAATGCACAGGCCATGGGGCTGTGRGGATGAGCTTGTCTAGGGAGGAAGGAGAAGGCAAGTCCTGCACCTGAGYAGGTGGGGGACAGTGGAGAGCATCAGTCTGAAAGGAGCAGGCAGGAGCCAGTCCTGGGGGTCTTTACGGACTTCAGAGCRATTTTGGATTTAATCTAGATGTGATGGGGACCCCTGAAYRGTTCTGAGTCAATTYACATTTACAAGTTCAGTCTGACATYGTAAAGGRATCAGGCTGTAGAAATGCAAGAGAGCTCAGGAGAACGTTAGTGGGAATCTAGGAGAGCAGGGGTGATGGCYTGATTAGGCAGCACTGATGCTGCGAAGCGGTCATGTGTTAGCATGAATTTTGAAAGTAGAATTAATATGAAATAGAAAGTACAAAAAAATAGATGAATTAAATATGACTCAAAATTTTGACCACAGCCACAGGAAGAAATGTGTRATAGCTACTGAAATGGAGAAGATGTGGGGAGAGATGGGTTAGGTTTGGTGGTGGTGGCGGGTAGAGGTGGAAGGTCAAGAGGTCTGTTTGAGTTTAAGATGGTCACTAGGCGACTTGGGGTTTAGCTTTGCGGCAGAGCACTTGCCGAGCATGTGTGAAGTCCTTGAAATGCCCAGCACCAAAAAGAGAACGAGGAAGGAAGGAAGGAAGGAAGGAAGGAAGGAAGGAAGGAAGGAAGGAAGGAAGGAAGGAAGGAGAAAGGAAAGAGGCTATTAGATACTTGAGTGGCCACTGATACATAAAAGGTGCTTAACGAAGGAGTCAAAGCTGGAGAAAAAAGTTTGAATTTAAGCTGAAAATGGTTCATGGAGCAACAGAATCATATAATTTAGGGAAGAGAGCCAGCAGAATAKAGTATGCTGGGAGCCAGGTATTGAAAATGTGTCCAGGAAAAGGAGTGATCCTCAGTGTTGAATGCCCCAAGAGGCTGAGGAGTGGAAACTGGAAACCAGGTGAGGCCACATGGACGTAGTGGACTTGATCAGCAAAAGCAGTTTCCGTGAAGCAGTGAGTGAAAGACCAATTAAAGTGGGTTCAAGAAAGGAAAAGGAAGGACCACAGAGACCTACAGCCATTTATCARCTGTCAGGGGTTACAGAGAGGAGACTATCTGACGTGGAGAGAGTGAGGAGGGAGGGGATGTTTGAAGTGAGGGAACTGGGTTTTTGAAATGTACTGGTGGCCATGAGACCCCAAACCTTTATTAAAAATCCCAGATACTATYTCAAAAAAGCAGATCTTAATACAATTAAAGATCAAATATAGAGTTTAAAGAAAAGATGGAAGGAAGTGAAACAGACAGTCACTCACTGAAAATTTGTAAAGGGAG